TCCATGCAGTCATGCTGGCCACATGACCTTGGAGGTGTCTACGGACAACGCTGGCTCTTCGGCTTAGAAATGGAGATGAGCACTACACCCGAGTCAGACATGACTGGACTTAATGTCAGGGGACTACCTTTACCTTTATATATATATATATATATATATATATATATATATATATATATATATATATACACACACACACACACACACACACACACACACACACACACATGTGTATGAAAGTGTGTGAGTGTATATGTATATATAGTGTATTTTTTTGGGTTTTTAAGTCTGTTCCTCTGGGCTTTTATGTGTGCTTGTGTGTTTAGGAGTGATGGACACTCGTTGGCCTGATAGGTGTAATGTGTCCAAATTTCGTGTCAATTCACCAGTGGTTTTTGAGTTATGTTGGGTTTTTAAGTCTGTTCTGCTGGGGTTTACGTGTGATTGAGTTGAGTGATGGACACTCATTGGACTGTTAGGTGTATTGTGTCTAAATTCCGTGTCAATTAGCCCAGTGGATTTTGAGTTATGTTAATCCCACAAACGAACATTACTTTTTTATTTATATAAACTAGCCGTCCCCTGCAATGCGTTGCTGTGGACCAGTCTTGTGTTTTGTGTGTGTATATATATATGTGTGTGTGTACATGTTTATATTATATATACATGCATTGTGTATGTGTGCATGTGTACATTTGTGCATATATGTGTGTGTGTGTGTGTATATATATATGTGTATATATATATATATACATGTATGAAAGTGTGTATGAGTGTATATGTATATATAGTGTATTTTTTAGGTTTTTAAGTCTGTTCCGCTGGGGTTTTATGTGTGTCTGTGTGTTTAGGAGTGATGGACACTCGTTGGCCTGATAGGTGTAATGTGTCTAAATTTTGTGTCAATTTACCAGTGGTTTTTGAGTTATGTGGAGAGCCCCTGGGTGGCGCAGTGGCTTAAAGCACTGAGCTGGTTGATCGAAAGGTCGCAGGTTCGATTCCAGGGAGCGGCGTGAGCTTCCAGTCAGCCCTAGCTTATGCCAACCTAGCAGTTCGAAAACATGCAAATGTGAGTAGATAGGTACCGCTCCGGCAGGAAGGTAATGGAGCTCCATGCAGTCATGCCAGCCACATGACCTTGGAGGTGTCTACGGACAACGCTGGCTCTTCGGCTTAGAAATGGAGATGAGCACCACACCCGAGTCAGACATGACTGGACATAATGTCAGGGGACTACCTCTACCTTTTCTTTGAGTTATGTTGGGTTTTTAAGTCTGTTCCGCTGGGGTTTTGTGTGTGCGTGTGTGTTTAGGAGTGATGGACACTCGTTGGCCTGATAGGTGTAATGTGTCCAAATTTCGTGTCAATTCACCCAGTGGTTTTTGAGTTATGTTGGGTTTTTAAGTCTGTTCCGCTGGGGTTTTGTGTGATTGAGTTGAGTGATGGACACTCATTGGATTGTTAGGTGTAGTGTCCAAAATTCATGTCAATTTGCCCAGTGGATTTTTGAGTTGTTAATCCCACAAACAAATGTTATATTTTTATTTATGTAATTTATTCATGTCCTGGCACTGAATGTTTGCCGTTTGTATGTTGTGCTCCGCCCCGAGTTCCAAGGGCGGAATAGAAATGTTTTAAATAAAATAAATAAATTAGGAAATGATATGGATAACCCAGGAAAACAAAAAAAAATGTTCCATAGTGTTATCCAGATTTTTTAAAAATAAAAACCACACAAACACAAAACTTTGGATGCTCAAAACCAACTTTTATTGAAACACATAAACCAAGAACTCTTTGCAATTCATTAGGTACACATACAAAGGGACTTTCCCCCATTTGCCAAACTTTTCCCAGACTTCACAACCTACAAGTTGGACTCTCTTCATCTTCTTGCAAAGTTCCCCCCAAAAATTCATCGAAACAGGAAAGGAACCTGAATAACGCTGTCTTTTTCTCTTGGGTTGCATCTACATTTCCATATCATGGAGTGACACTGACAGACTTCAAACTTAGATGGCGGTTGGGTATCCGGGCTTTGGAAGGTGTCACTCTAAAACCTCAAAAGTCTCCAAAAGTTAGTATTCAAACTTGGATGGTGGTTGTGTATCTGGATTTGGAAGATGTCAGTCCAAAAACTTCAAAGTCTACAAAACTTAGATGACGATTGTGTATCTGGGAAAACTTAGATGGTGGCATCTCGCTTTGGAAGGTGTCAATCAAAAGTCTCCAAAAGTCAAACTTAGATGGCAGTTTTGTATGTGGCTTTGGAAGGTGTCAGTCCAAGAACTCCAAAGTCTCCAAAATGTAGTACTCAAACTTAGATGACGATTGTGTATCTGGGCAAACTTTGATGGTGGTGTGTATCTGACTTTGGAAGGTGTCACTCCAAAACTTCAAGTTTCCAAAATTTAGATGGTGGTTGTGTATCTGCACAAACTTAGATGGCAGGTGTGTATCTGGCTTTGGAAGGTGTCAGTTCAAAACCTCAAGTCTCCAAAACGCAAACTTACGATAGCAATTGTGTATGTGGTTTTGGAAGGTGTCAGTCCAAAACTTCACAAGTCTCCAAAACTTCGGATTCAAACTTTGGAAAGTGCCAGTCCAAAAAGTCTCGAAAACTTTGCTAAGGATTCACATTTTAAGGTGGTCTTTTACGGTCCCCAAACACTCCAAAGTACACTCAAAGGAACCCATAGAATCCTCTTGTATTAGAAATACATTCCCATATACACTTAAGTTTGAATTGCTAAGGATTCACAGCTTAAGGTGTTCTTTTAAGGTCCCCAAAACCTGCAAAATAGACTCAATAGGAACCCTTTGAATCCTCTTGGGCTGGAAACACACTCCTATATACTTAAGATTGAACTGCACTGAACTGTGATTCAGATATACATTTGGAGAGCTTTCCATTGCAAAAAATTCACATCTTAAGGTGGTATTTTAAGGTCCCCAAAAGCTCCAAAGAAGACTCAAAGGAACCCTTTGAATCCTCTTGTGTTGGAATTACATCCCCATATACTTAAGTTTGAATTGGTAAGGAGTCACATCTTAAGGTAGCAGTTGTGTACTTGGGTTTTTGGAAAGCGTCAGTCCAAAAAGTCTCCAAAACTTTGCTAAGGATTCACATCTTAAGGTGGTCTCTTTTAAGGTCCCCCAAATACTCCAAAGTTAGACTCAAAGGAACCCTGAAAATCCTCTTGGGCTGGAAATCCATTCCCAGATACTTCAGTTTGAACTGCACTGAACTGAGATTCAGATATCAATTTGGAGAGCTTTCCATTGCTAAGGATTCACATCTTAAGGTGGTCTTTTAAGGTCCCCCAAAAGCTCCAAAGTAGATTCAAAGGAACCCTAAAAATCCTCTTGGGCTGGAAATCCATTCCCATACACTGAAGTTTGAATTACATTCCCAGATACTTAAGCTTGAATTGCTAAGGATTCACATCTTAAGGTGGTCTTTTAAGGTCCCCCAAATACTCCAAAGGAGACTCAAAGGAACCCTGAAAATCCTCTTGGTTTGGAAATCCATTCCCATACATTGAAGTTTGAATTACATTCTCATATACTTCAGTTTGAATTGGTAAGGATTCACATCTTAAGGTGAACTTTTAAGGTCCCCCAAAACTCCAAAAAAACCTCAAAAGGAACCCTGAGAATCCTCTTGGGCTGGAATTACATTCCTAGATCTTAAGGTGGTCTTTTAAGGTCCCCCAAAACCGCCAAAAGAAACTCAAAAGGAACCCTGAGAATCCTCTTGGGCTGGAAACACATTCCCACAAACTTAAGTTTGAATTGCTAAGGATTTTCATCTTAAGGTGGTCTTTTAAGGTCCCCCAAATACTCCAAAGGAGACTCAAAGGAACCCTGGGAATCCTCTTGGGTTGGAAACACATTCCCAGATACTTAAGTTTGAATTACATTTTCATATACTTCAGTTTGAAAACCTAAGGATTCTCATCTTGAGGTGGTCTTTTAAGTCCCCCAAATACTCCAAAGGAGACTCAAAGGATCCCTGAGAATCCTCCTAGTTTGGAAACACATTCCCAGATACTTAAGCTTGAATTGCTAAGGATTCTCATCTTAAGGTGGTCTTTTAAGGTCCCCCAAATACTCCAAAGGAGACTCAAAGGAATCCTGAGAATCCTCTTGGTTTGGAAATACATTCCCACACATTCAAGTTTGAATTACATTCCCAGATACTTCAGTTTGTATTACTAAGGATTCACATCTTAAGGTGGTATTTTAAGCCACCCCTGCCCCCAAAAAAACTCCAAAGGAGACTCAAAGGAACGCTTTGAACTCTCTTGGGTGGAAACACATTCCCATATTCTTAAGTTTTGAGAGTTTGAAATCCATTCCCATACACTGAAGTTGGAATGGTTAGGATTCATATCTTAAGGTAGTATTTTAAGGTCCCCCAAAGAACTCCAAAGGAGACTCAAAGGAACCCTCAGAATCCTCTTGGTTTGGAAATCCATTCCCATACATTAAAGTTTGAATTACATTCTCATATACTTAAGCTTGAATTGCTAAGGATTCACATCTTAAGGTGGTCTTTTAAGGTCCCCCAAATACTCCAAAGGAACCCTGAGAATCCTCATGGGCTGGAATTACATTCCCAGATCTTAAGGTGGTCTTTTAAGGTCCCCCAAAAGCTCCAAAGTAGACTCAAAGGAACCCTGAGAATCCTCTTGGGTTGGAAACACATTCCCAGATGCTTAAGTTGGTTAGGATTCCCAGATCTTAAGGTGGTCTTTTAAGGTCCCCCAAATACTCCAAAGGAGACTCAAAGGAACCCTCAGAATCCTCTTGGGATGGATATCCATTCCCAGATACTTAAGTTTGACCTTTACTTAACTTAGATTCATATGTAGATTTGGAGACCTTTCCGGGGGTTTTGGACTCCAACTCCCACAATTCCCAGTAGCCTAGGAATGGTGGGAGTTGGAGTCCAAAACCCCCGGAGGGAGAGCCAAAGGAGCCCTTGGAAACGTCTCCAAAATAATTGCGCAACGGCGCGCAAAACCAAGGCGCAAAAGACGCGCCAACCAACCCCAAATGCGCCAGGCTCAAAAAGCACCAAAAAGGCGCTCCCCAACTACAACACCCCCCCTGCCGTGTAGGCCTGGGCCTTCTTCGAGGGGCGTTCAACTTTGGTGGCCGTGGGCCCCGTCTATTTGGAGGCAGCGGCGTCTTTCTCCGGGGAGGCGGGCGGCTCCTTGTCTCCTTCGGGAGGGATGGCGTTGGTGTTGGTGTTCTCCACCCTGCAGATGGCGATGGCCACGCTCCTCTTCTCGGCCAGTGGGGTGGATCCCATGCGCGGGGCTTGGATGCGGAGCCGCCCCTCGTCGGGGAAGAAGCAGCAGCTCATCCCGGCCGGGTCGGCGTCGGAAGGGAGCATCATCTCCTTGCGGATTTCGCGCAGCTCGTGGGAGACGCATCCGTCCTGTCCGCGGGCGCGGCGGTCCTGCTTCCCCGAGGCGGAGATCTTCCTCCCGTCCACCTTGACGGAGACCTCCTCGGGCTGGAAGCCGGGCAGGTCGAGGCAGTAGCAGAAGGCCCTCCGGGACTCGTCGTCCACGCCGCCCTCGCCTTCCTCCTGCGAGGAGGAGCCCTTGATGCTGGGCCGCAGGTCGCTCCAGGAGTTCAGCCGCGGGTAGGCGTCGCACAGCACCTGCCGCATCCGCTCCATCTCGTCCAGGTGGTTCTGCATCTCGCACACCAGGTGGTCCAGCAAACTGCGAGGGGGCAAGCCCGCCGGGGTGATCTCCCCCGAGCGCTGCGGCGTGGGGCGCTCCGCGGGGCGCTCCACTCGCTCGCGGGTCGTGGCCGTCCGGTAGAAGCCGAAGCGGAACGACATCCTGGCCGCAGGGCTGCTCAGAGACGCAAAGAAAGGCTCCACTCACTCCCAGAGGGAAGGAGACCCGCAGAAAGGCTCCACTCCCAGGCGTTTCCCGAGAGAAAGGAGAAGAAGGAGCCCGGGAAAGAAGAGGCAGCCCGGGGAAAGAAGCCCGGGGAAAGGGGCGGGGCGTCCCGGGAACTGTCACTCACCAGAGCGCGCGCTTTCCACTGTTTCTCTTCCTTTCTCTCTCTCTGCGCCCTTGCCATGTTGCAAGCACTTGCAACTTCTCTTGGGCAACTTGCAAACTTACTTTTCCTTGGCGGCAATATAGGGAATGCACTATATTATTACTATATATTATATTACTATTATTATTAACTATATATTGCATTCCCAGGGCAATGCAAAGGGAATGCAATATATTGTTGTTGTTATTATTATTATTATTATTATTATTATTATTATTATTATTATTATTATTATATTACACTGCTCAGCCAGTGCAATGCAATGCAAAGGGAATGCACTATATTATTACTATATATTATATTACTATTATTATTAACTATATATTGCATTCCCAGGGCAATGCAAAGGGAATGCAATATATTGTTATTATTATTATTATTATTATTATTATTATTATTATTATTATTATTATATTACACTGCTCAGCCAGTGCAATGCAATGCAAAGGGAATGCACTATATTATTACTATATACTATATTACTATTATTATTAACTATATATTGCATTCCCAGGGCAATGGAAAGGGAATGCAATATATTGTTATTATTATTACTATTATTATTATTATTATTATTATTATTATTATTATTATATTACACTGCTCAGCCAGTGCAATGCAATGCAAAGGGAATGCACTATATTATTACTATATATTATATTACTATTATTATTAACTATATATTGCATTCCCAGGGCAATGCAAAGGGAATGCAATATATTGTTATTATTATTACTATTATTATTATTATTATTATTATTATTATTATTATTATATTACACTGCTCAGCCAGTGCAATGCAATGCAAAGGGAATGCACTATATTATTATTATTATACTATTATATATATTATATTATTATTATTATTATTATTATTATTATTATTATTATACTATACATTATTGCTCTTGTAATTATACATTACATTATTATATTATTATACTATATTATTATTATTATTTGTACTCTGCAAAGGAAACTGGAAGCAGTATTCAAGCTTTTATAATATATTATTATTATATTACATTATTGCTATTATTTTTATATTATATTATTATTATTATTATACTATTACTATATTACAACTTGCAAACTAACTCTTACTTTGGCGGCTCAGGATGCTCAGCCAGTGCAATTCAATGCAAAAGGAATACACTATATTATTATTATTATACTATATTATTATTATTATTATTATTATTATTATTATTATTATTATTATATTACACTGCTCAGCCAGTGCAATGCAATGCAAAGGGAATACACTATATTATTATTATTATTATACTATTATATTACACTGCTCAGCCAGTGCAATGCAATGCAAAGGGAATGCACTATATTATTATTATTATTATTATTATTATTATTATTATTATTATACTATTATTATATTACAACTTGCAAACTAACTCTTACTTTGGCAGCTCAGGATCCTCAGCCAGTGCAATGCAATGCAAAAGGAATGCACTATATTATTATTATTCTATTATTATTCTATTATTATTAAGTATATATTATTAATATTATTATTCTGTCTGCGCCCTTGCAATGTAGTAAGAAGGCTCTCTCACTTGCAACCCCTCTTGCACAACTTGCAAACTAACTCTTACTTTGGCTTCTCAGGCTGCTCAGCCACTGCAATGCAATGCAAAGGGAATGCACTATATTATTATTATTATTATTATTATTATTATTATTATTTCTAAGCCCTTGCAAGGTAGCAAGAAGGCTCTCTCACTTGCAACCTCTCTTGTGCAACTTGCAAACTTACTTTTACTTGGTGGCTCAGGATGCTCAGCCAGTGCAATGCAATGCAAAGGGAATGCACTATATTAATATTGTTATTATTATTATACTATTATGATTAAGTATATTATTATAATATATATTATACTATTATTAAGTATATAATAATAATAATAATAATAATAATAATAATGCAAAGGGAATGCATATATGTGTGTGTGTGTGTATATATATAATATTATTATTATACATTATATTATTATTATATAATAATAATATTCTTTGAGGCCTCCACCTGCACAATTTGCAAACCAACTCCTCAGCCCGCTCAGCCAATGCAATGCAAAAGGAATGCAATTATGTATATTTTTATAGTAAAGGTTAGGTTTTCCCCTGACGTTAAGTCCAGTCATGCTGGGGGTTGGTGCTCATCTCCATTTCTAAGCCAAAGAGCCCTGGCATGACTGCATGGAGCATCGTTACCTTCCCGCCAAAGCGGTACCTATTGATCTACTCACATTTGCATGTTTTTGAACTGCTAGGTTGGCAGAAGCTGGGCCTAACAGCAGGAGCTCACGCCACTCCCCGGATTCAAACCTGTGACCTTTCGGATTCTAATTCCTATTCATTCATAGATACCCATTACCCAAGGCATATCTACATTCCTATTCATTCATGGATACCCAAGGCATATCTACACTGAGGAATTGATGGAGTTTTACCCCACTTTAACTGACATGGCTCAATGCTATCGAGTCCTGGGAGTTGTTACAGCCCTCAGGATCCGATATAGGAGCCATGACAGTTAAAGTGGTGCCAAACTGCATTAATTCCACAGTGCAAGTGCTTCCACATTGTGTGTAAATTGGATGAGCGTGCGTCCAAGTAACATTATTTCCGCTTTAGTGGAAAGCAGTAGCAAACATCAGAATCCAACAAAGGATGCTTCCAGGCAGGAAGCAGCCAGGCTTTGAAACTGCAAGGCCATTCAGTGTTAATCAAGGTGGCCAGTTCAACATTCACACTTGCCTCCAGCAGACAGGAGTTCTTTCTCCCACTCTGGACATCATTCCACAGCTGTATAAACCTGCCATAGATGTGGGTGAAACGTCAGGAGAGAGTGCTGCTGGATTATGGCCAGACAGCCTGGAAAACCCATAGTGACCCAATGATTCCAGCCATGAAAGCCTTCGACAATATGTCTAAATAATTGCCAAGAAAATTCCAGGACAGAATTAAAAGTATATTTATGGGTGCATCACAACAACAAATTGAAGACCATCAACTTTTTGCACTAACTGAAAAAACACAGCAAGCCCAATAAAATCAGAGAAGGATGAGGACTAGCACACTGCCCAGGTTTGTAATTATCTTATCTTATTTATTTATGTACAATATTTATATCCCACCCTTCTCACCCCAAAGAGGACTCAGAGCACCTTATTGTGCTATGCTAATAATATAATATATTGTATATAATACAATATATTACAATTATTAGCATAGCACAATATTAGTATTATATATTAATATATTGTACTAGACCACAATTCTGCAATATTATTAGTAGTATTACATGTAATATAAAATATTATTATATAATGATACTGTGTTATTATTAGTATTATATTGTTTTACAATATTATCATCAATATTATATATTCATACTATATATTATACTATTAGCATAGCACAATATTAGCATTATATATTACTATACTGTGCTAGACCACAATTCTGCAATATTATTAAGATATTAGATGAAATATAAAATATTATTATATTATTATACTGTATTATTATTAGTATTATATTGTTTTACAATATTATCATCAATATTATATATTCATACCATATATTATATTATTAGCATAGCACACTATTAGTATTATATATTACTATATTGTAATAAACCACTATACTGCAATATTATTAGTAATATTACATGTAATATATAATATACAATTATAACATTGTATTGTTATTAGTATTATATTGTATTACAATAATATCACAAATATTATATATTCATACAACATATATTATTAGCATAGCACAATATTAGTATTATATATTACAAATCTGTACTAGACCACTATGCTGCAATATTATTATTAATATTAGATGTCATATAAAATATAATATTATATTATTATATTGTATTATTATTAGTATTATTATATTGTATTACAATATTACCATCAATATTATATATTCCTACAATATATATTATTAGCATAGCACAATAGTAGTATATTACTATTGTACTAAACCACTATACTGCAATATTATTAGTAATATTACATGTAATATATAATATACAATTATTATATTATTATACTGTATTATTATATTGTATTACAATATTATAATCAATATTATATGTATATATAATATATTATTAGCATAGCACGATATTAATATTATACTGTACTAGACCACTATGCTGGAACATTATTAGTAATATTAAATGTCATATAAAATATAATATTATTATATTGTATTAGTATTGTATTGTACTACAATATTATCATCAATATTATATATTCATACAATATATATTATTCGCAGAGCATAATATTAGTATTATACATTCCTATATTGTACTAGACCACTATGCTGCAATATTATTAGTAATATTACATGAAATATATAATGTACAATTATTATATTCTATTATTAAATGTCATATAAAATAGAATATTATTATATTGTATTAGTATTATATTGGATTACAATATTATTATCAATATTATATATTCATACAATATATATTATTCACATTACAATATTATCAATATTATATATTCATATAATATATATTATTCACATTACAATATTATTATCAATATTATATATTCCTGCAATATATATTATTCACATTCCAATATTATCATCAATATTATATATTCATACAATATCACATTACAATATTATTATCAAAATTATATATTCATACAATACATATTCACCTTACTATATCATCATCAATATTATATATTCATACATTACATATTATTCACCTTTCAATATTAT